CAGCAATTTAGTGAGACTCTAAGCAACTTAGAGAGACCCTGACTCAAACTAAAAATTTTAAAAAGGGCTGGGGATATTGCTCAGTAGTTAAGTACCCTGCATTCTCTCCCCAGTACAAAAAAAAAAAAAAGGAGGAGGAGGAGGAGGAGAAAGAGGAAGAAGAAAAGGAGGAGGAGGAGGAGAAAATTATGTCATCTGCAGGAAAATGGATGGATCTTGAGAACCTTATGTTAAGTGAAACAACTCAAACTCAGAGTCAAGGGGCGTATGTTTTTTCTCATATGTTGAAATGAGATAGGAAAAATGAAAAGAAAGGTATGTGTGTGTGGAGAGAGGGAATCTCATAAAAATTAAAGGAATATCAGTAGAGTAGAGGAAAAGGAACCAGGAGAGGAAAGAGGGGAGGGAAAGCAGAATTACTAGAAAAGATACTGAAAAAATTATATTGTTAATTGTGTGCAAGTACAAATATGTAACAATGATTCTCACCATTATGCCTAAGGCACCGATAAAAATGTGGAAGATTTTTGGTTATATGTGTCCACATAATAAAAAAAGAAAATTTGAAAAGTAATCTTTAAAAAGGAAGTCTATTTCACTCTCTGGGATCAGAAATAAGATAAGAATGTCTACTCTCAGTATTTCTATTTAACTATAGAACTAAAAATCCTTGCCAGAGCAATTACACAAGAGAAAGAAATGAAAGGTATCCAAAGAAAGGAAGCAAAGTATGAAATTGTTGCTGTTTGCTGACAATGTGATCTTTTTTCTTAATTTTTTTTAGTTGTTGATGAACAAAATACACCCATTTTATTTACTTATTTTTATGTGGTGCTGAGGATTGAATCCAGTGCCTCACGCATGCCAGGCAAGGGCTCCATCACTGAGCTACAATCCCAGCTCCAATAATGTGATCTTACAAATGAAAACTTAGATTTCGTCCCCAAACTGTTACAACTAATATTTGAATGTATTAAGTTTGCAGGATACAAACCAACACACAAAAATCATTGGTAAAGAAAACATCCCCATTTATATATTCTAATAATTAAATAAAGAAAACAGCCTCATAGCTAAATTGAAACATGAATAAAATATTTAAGAATAAATTTAACCAGGGAGGTATCAGTTACACTAAAAACTATAAAAACTGATGAAAGAAATTGAAGAAGACACAAGTAAGTAGAAAGATATTCCACATTCATGAATTGGTATAATTAATATTATTTTTTTTGGGGGGGGGGTTGCTAGGGATTGAACTCAGGGGCACTTGACCAATGAGCCACATCCCAGCCCTATTTTGTATTTTATTTAGAGACAGGGTCTCACTGAGTTGCTTAGCGCCTCACTTTTGCTGAGGCTGGATTTGAACTTGCAATCCTCCTGCCTCAGTGTCTCGAGCTGCTGGGATTATAGGCGTGTACCTCTGTGCCCATCTAATTAATATTATTAAAATATCCATAACTACTCAAAGCAATATATAGATTCAATGCAATTCCTATGAAAATTCCAATGGTATTTCTCACAGATATAGAAAGAACAATCCAAAATTGTTCATGGAAACACAAAAGACCCCAAATAACCAAAACAAAATCTTAAGCTAAAAGAACAAAGCTGGAGGCATCATACTATTTGATTTCCAACTGTATTACAAAGCTATTGTACTTAAAACAGCATGATCTTGGCATAAAAATAGACACATCAACCAACGGCTCAGAATATACAGCATTTCTAGTTGTGCATTTATAGTCAGTTGATTTTCAACAAAAGTCCCAAGAACATAATGATGGAAAAATGACAGTCTCTTTAATACAGGGTGGTGGGAAAACTGGATCACATACAGAGGAATGAACTTGGACTCTCATCTCATATCCTATGGGAATCAACTCTTAAAGGATTAAAGACCTAAATGTAAGACCCGAAACTATAAAAGATATTAGAAGGAAGCATGCAGTAAAATTATAAGACATTGGTTTAGGTAATGATTTTTTAAAATCTGACTCCAAAAGCTGAGGTAACCAAAGCAAGATAAATGGGATTACATCCAACTAAAAAGCACAGCAGAGGAAACAATTTGCAGAGTAAAGAGCTAACTTATAGACCAGGACAAAATATTTGCAAGGTGTACATCTGAGAATGAATTACTACCCTAAATATATAAGGAACTCAAACAACCCAATAGTAAAAAAGCAAATAACTAGATTTAATTTTTATGTATTTTTTGGTGGCACAGGGGATGAAAACCAGAGGTGCTTTACCACTGAGCTACGTCCACAGCCCTTTAAGTTTTTTATTTTGTTTTGTTTCAAAATGGAGTCTTGTTATGTTGCTGAGACTGCCTTCAAACTTGTAATCCTCCTGCTTCAGCTTTCCAAGTTGTTGGTGTTACAGGCATGTACTACCATGCCTGGTGAATAACCTGATTTTACAAAGGGCAAACCAGGAACAGCAATATATGCTTATAGTCCCAGCACTCAGGAGGATGAAGCAAAAGAATTGCTTAAGCCCAGGAATTTGAGACCAACTTGGACAATACAGTAAGACCCCCCCCTCCCCAACTATTAAAAAAGGGCAAGGGGCCAATTTGTTTTTTCAAAAGGAGACATAAAATTGACCAACAGATAAATTAGAAAAGAAAAAAGCTCAATAACATTAATCACCAGGGAAATGCAAATTAAAACCACAATGAGATATTACATCACACCTGTCAGAATTGCTCTTATAAAAAAGATAAATGCTAAGCATTAGAGAGGATATTAAGAAAAGGAAATCTTTGTACATTATTGGTGAGAATATAAATTAGTACAGCTATCATTGAAAACTGTATGGAGGTTCTTAAAAAAAAGATTTCCATAAGATCCAGCAATTCTACTTCATAGTATATACCCAAAGGATCCGAGTTCAGGATGTTGAAGAGACACCTGCACTTCCAGGTCCATTCAAGCACTATTTGCAATAGCTGAGATATGGAAGCAACCCAGAGGTCCATTGTTGGATGAATGGCATGTATTCTCGATGGAATACTATTTAGCCTCAAAAAAGAAGGGGAGTCTGTCGTTTGTGGACAGAATAAATGAACCTGGAAGACATTATTCTGGGTTTAACAAGTCAGGCACAGAGACAAATACCTAAAGCCAATGACTCTATCTCCTTTCTAAGCTCCAACTCTAACAAACTCCAATAGACTAATTGTTTCTAAATGCCTAAAAGAGATCTCCACAGACTATCTGACCACTTTCTTAAATTTAATGTCCAAAAATAGACCTGTCTAAATACCACATGATGTCACTTATATGTGGAATCCAAAACAACTGAACTTTTTGAACCAGAAAGGAGAATGCGGTTTCCAGAGAGAGGCACGTGGGGAGGGGGACTGGGAGGAGATATTGGTCAAGGGGTAGAAAATTTCAAATAGACAGAGGTATCAGTGGTTTTTTTTTTTTTTTGCAATATATTGCACAGCATGGTAACCATAGTTATTAACATTACATTTCAAAATTGCTAAGAGAATACATTTCAAATGTTCTCACACACACACACAAAAAAAAACCTGAAATGTATTTGAGGTGATGAATATGTTAATTAGCTTGATTTAACCATTTTGCATTGTGTATGTATTTATACACATATAAATATATGCAATACATAAAAATAGCATCACTTTATACCCCATAAATGTATAGTTATAATTTATGAGTTTATAATAAAATAAAAAATTTAATAAATAAAATTAAAATCTTTACTTTTTAAAAATTTTTAAAACAAAAATCTAATTCACTGTGACTTCTTAATCACCCGCATTTGCTAATAGGTTTTTACTCTAACTTGGGAGAGAGGATGAGAAGTTTTTGATGACAACCAATATGGTTCATTGCTATTGTTACTTTTAATTCCTATGAGCATATTTGGTTCAAGCAATCTCTATGGTTGTATCACTCCACAAATTACACTGTTTGCCAAGCTGATTCTGGTGGGCACAGTGGGCTTTCTCAGTACACCAGGGCTCATGGTAGCCTCTAGATATTTAAGCTCCTAGTTTTATGATGTTGCAGAGCAGCTTGAAATAAGTGCTATGAGCTATACTGGCTGTGTAGGAGCCCATTCGTATAAGTGTCTCTCAAATCCCAAGAGGCAGGGCACTGAGAAGCAAGACACAACCTGCCCCCGCCCTAAACTTCCAAAAGCTCAATATCCTTTCATATTAATTGGTATTTCCAGCTCTTCTAGAAAACCAAAATCAAACTTGGAGCTAACGCTAAGGATCAAAAATCAAAGATGCCCTTACTGACTCCATTTCCTCATCAGTCAACAAAGAGTGCTGGACTAGGTTGTCCCCACAGTCCTGCTTTATTGACTAATGGCATCCAAGCAGGTGGGCAGTGCACATACACGCAACCTTGCCATCAGAGCACCCAGGTGAGGCCAAGCACAGAAGGGCCAGTGGGGAGTTGCTCCCTGTCTAAGCTCCATCTGCACAGGCTGGTACGGCTGGGGCCGCACGTACTGTGTTGGCAGCTCCATCCCTGCCCCCTCCCAGTTTACAGGTAGGCAACGATCAAATGGTCCTTCAAGTCACACAATCTACCTTTTTTTTTTTAAGATTAAGAAGGGACCCACATATCTAATAGAAATAATAAAATAATTCTCCGAGATTAAAGGTCCAATAGGTGATTTGAGAACTCACAGATTTGTTCTAAACCTAGGATACGGATATCAAAGAATTGCCCTTAATATTTTAGAAAATGTGCATATATTCTTTTTTCCAGAATCTCTGTCACTCAGAACAATTATTAGTTAAGAGTTTAAGAATATATGATGATAATATCATCTAATCTAGTATCATTATAAAAGAAAAGGGGAGAAATGGGAGAACAAAGGGAAAGGGCATCCACACAGAACACACAGAAACTGAAAATGATGCTCGGTTCCCAGAACAATGCCCAAGCTTGCTCTGCACAGCCTCGTTCCCTAAAATCCTCTGTCGCTCAGTGTTCACTCACCTGCCTTTCTTAGACATCTCGTGCACTTCTCTTCCTGGCCAGTGCACTCTGCTTTCAGTGGCCAAAACCCATCCCCACCACAAAAGGAAGATACCAAATTTCATATTCTGGATAGCCAACATGGGTTTCAAAATCCAAACACGTCTCTCAAGAAACCACAAAAAGGAAACGGATGTTCTTTTCTCTCTTAAGACATTATTGGTCTGTTCATTATTAGAAGGATGTTTACTCATGCAAAAAAAAAAAAAAAATCAACCGGCAGTATGTAATCTGGCAAGCAGGAGAAAGCAATTTCCACTAAACCTATAAATCCTCCTACGTCAGATGTCAGGGATTTTCTGAACTGAGGTTGAATTCCTGTGTCCCTGTGGAACAATTATTTTGGCTGGTCTAAATTAGTTCATCATCAAATGGGGCAAATATGTTAGTCAACGTCTGTATTTTCTTGTCCATTGCATAGAAGGAAGTAAAAATGGACCACAGCAATTTCCAAAATGAAAAAGTCCAGAGGTGCTGAACTGCTTCATATGCCATGTTAATAGCTCCTCCCCAGATCTATTTTAAGCTTCCAGCCATTACTATTTGCTTTGCTGAGGGCTGGATTTGGACAGCTCTCAGCCCCCACTCCTTGTGGCTGAATCCCTAGGACCTCAGACATTGATCAGCACCTGGGCAGGTCATCTCTGTAGATATTGGGAGGGTGAGTAGAGTTTTTAAAATCCTTGTTCTGCACAGAAAGAACTAAATTTCCTTGTCAGTTGCATTATTCTTACTGCAAACCTCATTGTACTTTTCACATTTGAAAAATGCTAGTAATAAATGAACTGTAGCCATCAAGTCTGTGTTAGCTACAGATAGTTTTTCTTTTCCTTTGATGCTTGCTCAAAGGCTCTGCTCTAATCTGTAGGCCTGAGTTTGTGTCTCCATCAAAGGACAGTCTCAGAGCCTTGCGGGAGAGGACTGTACTCTGTACTCCAGACCACTGTCTCTTCAAAGCTGAACTTTGAGTCTGTATTGGCAGACTTGAGTCACGATTCCCAGAACTCTGTAGTTGAAAAGCAGACAGTTTCACAAAACTACTGACCCAAGATCCAGCAGAACAAGAATTAATTGTTGTGCTTTGGATACGGTTTGAACATGTTCCCCAGTGGTTCGTGTCCTAGAAGTTCAGTTCCCAGCATGGTGGTGCTGAAGTGGTGGGACTCTTAAGAGGTGGGGCCTAGTGCAAGGTAATTCGTTCATATGGAGGTTCTGCCTTCAGAAGGAATTAAAGGGACCCTATTAGTGAGGGAGTTGTTATGAAAAGAGCAGGCCTGGCCCCTGATATTCTCTCTCTCTCTTTTTTTTTTTTTTTTTTGGTACTAGGGATTGAACTCAGGGGTACTCAACCACTGAATTATCTCCTCAGCTCTATTTTGTATTTTATTTAGAAACAAACAGGGTCTCACTGAGTGGCTTAACGCCTCGCTTTTCCTGAGGCTGGCTTTGAACCCACGATCCTCCTGTCTCAGACTCCCGAGCTGCTGGGATTACAGGCATGCTCCAGCATGCAGGGCCTGACTCTTTTGATTCCTGTCTCTTTGTGTGACTGCTCTCTCCCTCTTGATATACTCCCAAGATACCATCTGCCTGACTTCGATGTGATCAGACCTACACCAGAGGCTGAAACAGTGAAGACAGCTGATCATGGATGCTCAGCTTCAAAAACTATGAGCTAAATAAACCTCTTTTCTTTTTACATTACTCAGACATTTTGTTACAGCAACAAAAAATAGACGAATAACTACATAGGCTTGAATGAATTGATGAGGGAATTTTATCTAGGTTGTTTGGATTATCATCGATTTGTTTTAAATTCCTATTTCCTAGATATGTAAGAATTTTTTTTCCTTCTTATGCTATCTGTAATTAACAATAATTTTTAAAATTCTGCTTTTGTAAACCACGATGAAGCATTTTAAAATGATATCTGATTCCCACTGATATAATTCCCCTCCTTCAAGTTCAGAAACATTCTACCCATTTACATTTCATGGCAGTATAATTGTTTGCTTAGGTTCAGTAAAAATCTGTCTTCTTTTGTGCCAGGATATAAGTGGAAGAATCAATTATGCAATCAAGGCCTTGCCTGGAATGTCTTATTTGAGACTGATGTTCACTTAACTAATGTGACAAGCCATTTTAAGGAACAAAATTTAGATGTACTTATGAAATCAATGTCTACAAAGTCCTCTCTAGAAAATTGATCCTGGGGCCAATTTATAGGGTCCAGGCTTATCACTTCCAGGTAAGTTCTTGGGGTAATGATTTTTAACCTGGTACTGAGATTAAATTCAGGGCCTCACACATGCAGGGTATGTGCTTTACCACTGAGCTACATCCCAGTCACCTTGGGGTAACTTTTTAAGCCTCAAGAAGAAAATAATTCACCCAATGTACAGGTACAGGTGGAGTTTTTTGGGCTTGGTTTCTTAGTCTCAGTAAATAGCAAGTGATAAGTGCTTTTAAAAGTCTCATCTAGGATTCCTTATGGTAACTTCTAGACAGAAGCTAATTTGGAATTGTTTGAGTACATATGGTTCTAAATTTTACAAAACAAACTGAAAGAGGCCTCCATGGTAAATAATACTCTGAAGAATTTATGAAAGTAATCAGCCAAACATAAAGAGACCAGCCTTTTTTTTTAAATCAAGAATAACCTTTCTTTGAAATTATATATAATCAATCACAATGAAAATGAAACTGGTCAGGAAAAACTGTCATACTTTGAAGTGGGCAAATGAGATTATTGAGTGTCCTTTCAATAGAATGCTGAGCCCTGTCCAGTGAATCCCCAGGGGATTATCTGATTTTATAGGATGTGTGTCTCTGATTGTCTTTGACTAGGCTATTTTATAATTCTGTAAAGGTAGAAAACTGATAACATGTAGAAAACTGATACCGATGGATATCTTTCCTGCCTAGAGCTATACAAATTATTGTTTTTGTCTCGCAGAAAATATAAATCTCTGTAAATCAAATTCTCATTTGAACTACTTGTAGCATCTTATTGGTCCCCTCACTAACTGAGTTAAATAAATCTTTGATGATGTCTATTCATATGTTAATCGTCTTTTCATCATTGTTACAAAATACCTGAGATGAACAACTTAAAAGGAAGAAAGGTTTATTTTGGCTTATGGTTTCAGAGGTTTTGGTTGACTGATTTCATTGCTAAGGCAGTGAGGCAGAGAATCATGGAAATGAGAGCATGGTGGAGCAGAGTGCTATCTTATAGCAGCCTGGAAACAGGGGCAGAGGGAGGTGGTAAGAGGCCAGGCACAAGTTATAATCCAGAGGGCACACAGCCACGGACATACTCCCTTCAACTAGGTCCCACCTCCCATAGTTTCCACCACCTCCCAGCAGTCCTTTCAAATTATGAAGCCATTAATGATTAATCCACAAATAAGGTTAGAACCCTCGTGAGTGATCTAATCATTTCCTAAAGTCCTACCTCTGAACCTTTCTGCATTGGGCCAAGCCTTCAACACATGAGCTTTCAGGGGGCATTCCAGATTCAAACCATATCAGTGTCTTTTGTAGGTCTATGAGAGTCTTGTTTATATCCTGGTGTATAAATCATCCTTTAACAGCACTGCCGAAAAATAGATGTTGAAAATAATCCAACACATGGAAATAAAGGCAGAGCATGTGTTGTCTCCAGACTCTGTGTAGCTCAGCATGATTAGATACTTCTTTGTCGTGATTTGCTGATCTGGAGAACCAAGTGGCAAAGAGGAGATATTCTGGGGCTAAGCACATTGAAATGTCCAGGACAATAAGGCCTTAAGTTGGGGGGTTAGGGAATATGAATGAACCTTTGATACCAGATTGGAAAATGCCTTTCTTTCTTGTTTAGAGGGTGTAGCTCCAGGGGCCAGAAACCTGGGCATGACTAAAGGGAGCAAATTCAGAAAGCCTCAAACATGCATTTCCTGCCCTCTCTTAGCTTAGCAGAGCTGGCTCAGCAGGTCTGAGTTAGACCAATGGGAGGACAGGCTAATAAAGCCTTTGCAACAAGGCTGCTTCCTCCACCAGGAAGCTCCCAGGCTTGAGGGGAAGGGATGGTTTTAAAGCCCTTTCTGCTTTTGGCTTCAGCTGGCCATGTCCAGCCCAAGCCCCCTCTCACTGTGACCCGGAGAGCTCAGAAGCCATGTGCACTTGCTACTTCCCCTCTTGCAAGTGCTTTTATAAACTTCATTTCCCATTTACATCATATGACTCCACTGCAGAGAATATCTGTTCCCTCTTTGTAGGACAAATAGGAGTTGAAAAGAGGAAGTGCAGCCTCAGAGAAGCAGGATGGGCCAACACCATAGCTTTTAAGGATTCAGACTGACCTATTGAAGTGTAACATTTTCAGACCAATTTTTTCCCCCTGTACCAGGGATTGAATTCAAGGGTGCTTAATCACTGAGCCACATCCCCAACCCTTGTTTTAAAAATTTTTATCTTGAGATGGAGTCTTATTAAGTTGCTAAGAACCTTGCTAAATTGCTGAGTCTGGCCTCAAACTTGTAATCCTCAAAGCCTCAGCCTCTTGAGCCACTGGGATTACAGGCATGTGCCACCACACCCAGGCCAGACCAATTTTTAAAACAAGCATTTTGACCCAACTCTCTCTTTCCTTTGCTCAGTGTAGCAGTTTTTTCTCTCTTCTCACTTTTTATTCTTCAACCATCCTGGCCTTCCCCTCACCAATGCAGGGTATGCAGGGTAAAAATTCCTTCAGTTGGGGCCTGGGGTTGTGGCTCAGTGGTTGAGCGCTTGCCTCACATGTGTGAGGCACTTAGTTCGATCCTGAGCACCACATAAAAATAAATAAATAAAATAAAGATATTGTGTCCATCTACAGCTAAAAAAAAAAAAAATTAAAAAAACAACCCTCCTTCCATGGAGGAAAGACCAGGCAATTGTTGACTCTAGCTGACCTTTGCATGGCCTTTGAGTGTCCCCTCCAGCCCTCCCAACCAGCAGAACATGACACACAAGACATAATTACTGATAGAGTTAACTTCAGATACCAAACTCCACCTGCTCCCAGACAACGGCCCCAGGTGCCCATGAACTATTTTCAAGTTGTTCCCTTTAGCACATATCTAGCTACAAGCACACCCGTGCTTTTTTCTGACTCTGAACTTAGTTTTTAAACATGGTCTC